GTCGTAGGTCCATTCTGAGCTCAGAAGATGTTTGTTTATGTTCATGACGAAAGTAGAACTTTTTTCAGTTTTTTTTTAGGGTAAGTTAACAACTGCACATGTCAGTGCTTCTATTCAGAATAAAAGCCTGGCGCATGTAAACACTTGTCATGATCGGATTGTGCGAATATATCCGAATATATTTCAATCCGATCAAAGAATTTTGCACATGTAAACATAGCTATTGACTRGGAGTCAGGTCAGGGAGTATTAATTTAATAATCATAGGTTGTAAGAGCACCATGAATCAAAGCCATCATCCCAGAAATGAGCTTTACAATTAGAAATTTCAATGAGGCTCCAGGACAAAGTTTGCAGGACTTGTRGCGCAGCACAGAAGAAGATGAAAAATACTAGAGAAACTGAAAGACTGTAGTGCATTTTCAGTGCAAACTAACAAAGAAATACATGAGATCTTGTGTCACTAAAGAGACACCAGAAAGTTAAAATTTAAATGTCTCCATTGTCCAACTGTCTTTAAGAAGCTTAAAACTGCCAATTGTWTATAATAGTGATGGCAACAGCTTTGTTGTGGTCCAAAATTGTCCTCATATATTTTATTATTTTAGATTTATATACGTATGTTTAAAATTACATATTTGTTAAAACACATTATAAATTTTGATGATTATTTGAGATTTTWATAGTTTTARAAACTATATACTGTATGTCTTATAAAATATTAGATATTTATTTCACTTTTTAAGTTTTACCTACTTGTAAACTGGCTCTCTTTTGAATTGATCATGTGGTCATATGGAGTTGTGGTTATCATTTGAGGCAGGAAGGGGTAGAGTGGAGATATATACCAGCTGCCTGTGTCATGGTGAGCACAACATAAGATTGCAGCTGCAAAGGAAGCTTCAGGCAATGACATAACACATTTTCAATCCAGACTTTGTCTAGTTCTTATTGTTGTTTTACATTTTGACTGTATGGAACTTTGATTAACTGATTGTTTTTATGAATAAACTGACACTGACATTAAAGTTTGATCTTTATTGGACGTCCTGATTGGCTGCATTTGCATCCAGTCTTCCTCATGACTGTGGCACAGAGTAAGCATGGAGATGATGAGCAGGAAGCTCATTCATGTTAGTCAGAGTAAATCAAGTCAACATACTCAGCAGTGTGACCTTGATGAGTTATACGGAGTTGAAAGTGATAAACTTTGAATGCATTAACAATCTACTCCTTCTCCTCGCATACAAACTTGTATAATAAAGTGATTCTTGAGAATCTCTTTCTGTTCAAACATGTAAGACTAAATTATCTTGGTATTAAAAACATCCAGTTCAGAGAAGCAGAGAGGGGGCAGGCAGGAGACGTCTGCTGGCTGCTGGAAATGTGGGCGGCATCAGATTAGCATATTCACAGGATCCCCTTTGACTAAAGCAAGAGGAAGGTGCAGAGTCATGCCCTGAGTCTTTTAAATTTRCTTTGTAGAATTCTGTGGAATATATGAGTTTTTTAGAGATTAATAACTGCTGGAGCTGGACTTTTAAACTCCTTTACACTAAAGTGTTGTTTAAATGTACTTCTAACACGTTTTGCAGTGTTTTATTTGATTTTCTTGTTGCTGCTGTTTCCTGAATGCTYTTCTCAGACGGTTTACAGCCCAACATCATTTTCTTCTTCCAACCAGAGTCAGAAAGTGGTTMTACTCAGAAACATTTGATATGTAGCAGTAAGTCCTCTCCAGAGTCTGCCTGTGATGGATTTAATTTGGTAGAAACSGTTGCTCAGGCACAGTGCAGTTTAAGGCAGAGTACCAGTTCAGCAGGGAGGATATAAAAGGTGTCAGCAGAAGCAAAAGATGAGGTTTAAACAYGACACAGCTTTTCTCTGCTCAGTCAAAAGATGGCATTTAAAAAAAATGTCAGACACGGCAATGAATACCACCTGACTGTTTCATCAGACAGCTGTGAATACCTGTTTGTTAGTTTTTCAACTTTACACTCCAGTTTGGGGCTAAAAAGAGTTTCTGTACAGGTGGTGTTTGACTCAGGACCTTCTACCTGCATTAGTCTCGCTGTCTGCAAAGGATTCTCTCAAACACTTTTTCTAATTCAGGTCAAACATTTTAAACATAAAAGTTTTTGTGAGAACTGGGTTAGCTCTGGGTTAGTGCTGCAGTTTGAGTCCAGGTTGTGTCAAAAAGGGACTTCAATGAGGTTACAGTTAGAGGYAAAACAATCCAAGGCCAACCTAGAATTCCTTAATCGAAATGCTAGTCTTTTAAAATAYATAAAATGATAACATAACCATAAATAATAATATGGAAGTTAAGTTATCTCAGATGTTAGCTCACTTTATGCTCATTAATCTTGGGTTCTTAGACTAGTAAGAAAAGCTTTATCTTATATTCCAGGGGATTTGTTTACTAAGTAATTTACACAGAATGCTGAGGCTGCAGGTTCAAGTCCAGGTTGTAATAGGAACCAGTGTAAAACAAGCTTACAGAGGTGACCCCGCTGAGGGGAGAAACCAAAAGAAAAACTAAACGTACAAATTTCCAAATAAACAAATCCTCAAATGAGTCACTGATGAATAATTCAAACAGCCTTACAGCAAATGATGCTAGCATTACAACAGATGAATCTCAGCTACTCTCATAAAGGAGTTATTGGATGTATCTACAGCTGARTGACTGTGGATCCAACCCAAAGTAAAATGGCAACCACAGCTAAGCAACTGCAGCAAACAGAACTTGATAAACATCAACACGTTGTACCAATATTGAGCTAAAATTTGAGAGTCATCCACCTATTTTATTCTTAGGGTTCAGAGATTACATAAGATTTCCATATGTTAGGTGTTAAAATACACTGGCTGGTCAAAAAAATYAGTTGCCACCAGAAAAAAGGTTACACACTATTTGGTTGGAGACAAGTCAGCACTTTACTGCCATCTAGTGTTAAGATCATTTTCTTTCACAGATTGGCACGTTGTCGCAGTTTGGGGAGGTGATTTGTCGAAACAGACTTTTAAATCATGGTATTAAAACAAAAAAAGRTGTGGATTGCTCGTTCTGCTGCTTTTTGGTCATATGGTAGAGTTTTGATAAGAAAGCATGCAGATATATTAGTAACTTTAAACTGTCGTAAAACTGAAGCAATGCATTCTGGGTATGCTACAGGACAAAGAACAGGTACCCATTATTTTCAAAATAAGAGCGTGAATTTAAACTGTTCTGTGTTTCTTTCTTTTTTATTATTTATTTATTTAAAACTTATTGCCACAGTGTCCCTCAGAGAGGAGATACAAACTGCACAGCTGAGAGTGGTTCTGCAGATCAGAACTGCAGGTGGATTGTCGCCCCGTGAAGAAGCTCCAGTTTCTTCCTGTCATGCAAAGAATTGTGGGAACTCTGTACTAAATGAAAACCGTGACCAAGAAGGACAATAAGTCAGAGTAGAAAGCTCTGCGAACGCAATATTGCSTGAGGGATTGTTGCTTCCACAGTGTGTTAAGAAGAGATGGCTTTCCCCTCCAATGTTAAAGAAAATGATGAAGTTTTAATGAATTATGTGGCTACAAAATGTTGAGTTTAGATGAAATWGATGATCAAATGTGAAACATTATTTGTGATTAATGCTACTCATTTCTAAATTTAGAAAGCGCAAATCCGCACATCATTTAAAGAAATTAGCACAAAGGAGAAATTTAGGTCCGCAATTAGCACATTTGCATTTTAGGGGACTGTTGCCCACCACTGGAGGTCATGCATGTTGTTTTTATTAATGTTTAAACAAAACACATTTCTTCTCAGTATAAAATTGTTTTAGTTTAAAACCCTGGCATGAAAGACAACAGATGCTATGTGCTCCATCAAGGAAAGCTTTTAATCTAGACCAAGTCTCCTGTAAAGGTTGAAATGATTTAATAAAATGTAAACAGGTGGGCAGTTCCTCAAAGCAGGTGAAGCCTGAATGATGTGTTTACTCACTGTCATACTGTACAGGTCCACTGTCCACGCTGCCTCCAAGTCCTGGCTTCTCACAGAAAGGTGGAGCCCAGCCTCGATTACAGTGACAGTTCCCATTGCTGTTACACACCTGCAGACAATCACCAACAAGACATCTCTTAACGTGTGTTTGTAGTGTTTTACCATCACAAAGGAGYCAGGAAGTTACTGGGCGCCCCTATACTCAAATGAAACTAATTGCTGTCTCTATGGTAACAAAATGATTTTTAAGACTTTTTTCAGGGTTACGGTTGCAGTTGTTTATGAGACTGGCTTAGGGGTCAGTGTTAGGTATTCAGCTGTGTTAGTCACGACTCAAACCCCAGACTGTGTGTGTTTTAACAGGATTTTTGTTGTCAGTGGGTTAATAATGACCTTTAGAAATACAGCTGTATAAAAGAAACAGGTGAATACTAATAACACTAAAACAGCATGTTTCTATTTTCTGTGAACAATGCTGTAATTTGCAACATAATTAGTTCTGAAGTGAGTATGAAATTGTGGCTCCCAACCATCCCACTCCAGCTCTAAGGTTCATGATGTGGTGGGCTGTTTAAAGACATCTGRATCTTTAAATGGCAGGAAAAATAGATTAAAACATACCAAACCTAGAAGAAAAAATAACTGGTTTTATTGGCTAAGGGTAACTTTTAACCTACAGTGTGTATTGGACTCAGTGTGCACTGAGGCAGTGAATGAAGGTGTAAAACTGTAGCGGGGGCTGGTGGAGCCCCTTAGCATGTTAAACAGATTGCTCCTAATGAAACATGAATAAAAATTAACAGTAAAGTTTTACATTGCACCAGCTAAATGACATGAGAGAGAGGGAGTGCTTTAATCCCTCTTTGTAAATGTAACTAACAGTGAGAAGGTTGCAGGTCAATTGACGACAACTCATTCATCAGCTTTTTATAACATCACATTCAGATATGAGATATAACATTTTGAAAAAAGGATAAATCAATTGATCACAACACCTGTGAGGAGGGGGCTGATTTTGAAACTCTGAATTGCATTCAGCAACTAAATTAYATCCTTTTCTAATTCACTAGCAAGGACCACGCCWTGGTATGAGTTTAAATATTTTATTGAAGGAAGGAGTCGACGGGCAGTGGGATGAATGACAAGCCTCTTCAGTGCAAGACAGTCACTTGTCACTTCCAGTATCTTCTCTGTGAGATCAGACACCATATTGTCAGCAAAGCTAAGAACCTTGCCCACTTTCTTGTTCTAAAAATGTTTAATCTAATCAACAGCTTTGTCAGCTACTATCAGCATTTTTTTTGATTTGTGGAAGTCTCTCTCCAAACMTGTTTTGGTTTTGGGCTGAATCTGGTCTCAGCACTTTTGCTGGGGTCAGAAAATGAACTTTGTTCTGACTCACAAATTTCTTCAAGTGGTGTGAATCTGTTCTGTGGAAAGTTTCTATCATTTTCCACTGTCTTGTTGTCATCTCCACTTGCTTTGATAACAGCCTGATGTTGTAGTCTTCTCTTTAGCACTGGGGAGAAATTTCTCTGTAGAATCAGCCATTCAGTTTTGTCTAGGTTCTCCATGAGAGATCCTTTGGTCTTGGGGCCAACATTTCCAACAAGTCCTGCTTCTAGAACCATTTCCWGTCTCTTCCATATCCTGATATTCACACTCAGCCTTCTCARTTGTTTGTGTTGTCTCATTTAAAGCATTCATCTCTTCCTGTTAGGATCTGTGTTTTGTCTTTGTCTGGCTCTCCGTGTTCTCACTTTCGTTCAACCTCCGTTCTGCCTCTCAGTATATTTTCCTGTCAGTTCTATCACACCTGTATTCACTCAGTAATCAGCCCAACTGCTTCCCATGTTCTTATCAGCCCTTGCCCTTTATATMTGGTTCTCTGTCTCCTCTCTTTGGTCCTTCATTCTCTCTCTTCCCCCCTTGTGTCTCCCCGAGTTCTCACCCCACTGGCCTTTTTTGTTATTTAATAAACCTTTTTTTTGCTTTAGTTCTTTGTGTGTGTCTGCTTATGGGTCCTACTGCTGACAGACATTACACGAAATGAAGAAATGAATCTAAACTTCCAACACTGTTGCCTTCTGGAGAAGCTGACTGAAATCCTCTTTACAAAAAACAAAACAAAACAAAAAAATAAACAAAAAAATACAAAAAAATCTCAAAAGCTTGTCTGTCCTTTGTCTCAGCAGTTGATGTCTCAAAGTCCTCTTAGCTTCTTCAACAGTAGTCAAAAATAAAAWGAAATTTCTGCCATCCAATGTCAACAAATCACACCATGGGGTCACCATTTTAAGAAAAACTTGATCAGAATTGGTAGCCAGAATAATTTAACAAAGAACCAAGTTGATTCACTTTAAAAWTCTTTATTTTCCAGATATGTTAATCCTTCCAGAGCCTTTGTCTGTGAGTGATCCTGGCCCTTTTCGCAATCAGTGGCTACACACTCGCCCTACTCCCTACTCACTCAGTTTACGCGTTCCCGCAGAGGGTTGGCCATATTAAGTCCCATCCGAAACCGGTTAGGTACAAGGGTGAGTGGCATATTAAGCCCTCCACAGTGAGTCTACGGCTGTGTCCAAAATGGCAGGACGGGTCCTCCGAAGGTCGAATTTGTCGGCCGCATACGTCACAGCGRCGCGACYAAGGACGTCCCAAACCGAAGACTCCTCCGATGCGGCCGACAAATTCGTCCATCCTTTTCCCCGATTTGAAGGACAGGTCTGATGGATCCTTCCCGGCCCAGCATATCCCATAATGCATTGCGGCCCAACCGGAGATTTTTTAAAGCTAGTAATGGCGGACGAAGCGAGAGAAAATAATACATTTTAAATAAAAAATATGGTGATGTAAAAATGAAAAAATTTTAGCGATTGCAATTCTAATACTTTTACCATTTGTATGGACATGTTTTTA